TCTTTCCCTCCTAATCACTACCCTACCCGGCTCGCCATCACCAGCACACCTGGCCAATCTCCGGTGGACCTGGTCATGGTGTAAGTACCCTCTGTCCAGTCAGAATGTCACCTTACCGCATTTTACACGGTGCTCAAAGCTGGGAGTCGCTTCTGCGGAAGACTTGCTATCACATTGTTGTAACCCCTGGGATAGACTGGAAGCCAGGAACATGCCCCATGTATTACAGCATCCCCTCTGTATCTAAGGTGGCGCGTTTCATATCTCACTGAAGCAGATATTCGATACGTGGAACCAGCAAAATTATAGAATCTTTTCTTTTTCCTTTTTTTTTTTTTTTTTGGAGAGGTTTTTGCTACAGGGCGCGTGCACTCGCCAGAAAGACAGAGAGACAGAAAGTGAGAAATCACCCCCCAAGGGAGATGGCCACGCCACAATCCCTCCTCCTCCATTCTCCTCTCGGGATCTTGGGCACACACGCACACACACCCGGCGTGAGTTTAAGCCGCCGAGTCTGGGACTCGAACCATAGTTGACTACATGGGAGTCCAGCGACATAGCCATTACGCTAACTGCTGGTCCCACAAATTATATAATCTTAAACTCTGAGTGACTCTAAAGGAGATCAATTCCCATCATGCACAACTGAGAACTTGAGACCCAGGTGGTTAAATTGGGATTAGTCAAGGTCACCAGATATTTAATGTCAGCCAGAGTCCAGATGTTTCCACTCCAAGTTCCGGGCTCTTTTTCCTGTCAGGGTGCCTGCTAGATGAATGAGTGAATGACTTGACTGCTCATTCTGCGTAATCAAAGGCTACCTGAAAAAAGACTCCAGTTAAGTAACCTAGTAAGTGTAATTTGGATAGACTATATTTGCCAATTTAACTGAAGTTTTCCACTTTCTCTTTTTAAATATATATTTGCTATAGGAGGGGAAGTGAGAAAACACCCCCCAGGCAGGATGGCCATGCCACAATCCCTTCTCCACTTTCTTGGAATTGTGGGAATGCACACAGACACGCCCAGCGTGTTTTTCAAGGTGCCCGTTCCGAGACTCGAACTGTGCAGTCAACCATGTGGGATCCAGCCGCCTTCACCACCATGCCACCAGTTGACCTGAAGTTTTCCATAAACACTTGCAATTGAGTGTCGATGTTCATAGCCTTTGGCATATTTTTAGTCATTTAAAATTTTGTTCAACGCATATACACTCCAGATAAAGAACAAGTCAGATTTCAATAATGTTAACAATCAGAGTGTTAACTCCAATTCTTCTATAACTTATGTAACTTGCCCCAAATAATGACATCGGTAGGTTGAAACCAGTATATTTTCACATGTCTTCACAGGTTAATGATGAAGGATACAAACTTTCCGAGTTCTACTTCTATTACTTAATTGCTTCAAGAAAAACAAAAAAGAATAAAAAAAAAAACTAGCGCATATAGAAAAAAACTAGCACGTATAGAAAAAAACTAGCACATATAGAAGAACTATGGCATACCGCAACTACATGATATTAATTAACTGCATTTTCAGGCCACACTGTCCTTTAAGAGTCTAACTTGTACTTCTGTATTATTATTATTATTTTAAACTAAATATCCATTTGACAGCTTTGGGTTTCATTTCTTTAATTTTCTTGCTCTCCCTCAGAGGGCGAGAAGAGAAATAGTGAGAAAAAAATGAACACAGACAAGGTATAGATCACCCAGAAACCGGAAGGGAGAAGTAGGTTCCCGAGAAAACGAGAACTGTACCAAGGCGTGGCCAGGACACGTGTGCCTACCAGGGCTCCCACCCTCTGCCATGCCCTCTCGGTCCCATCCCTCCTGCCAAGGAGTGAGCCGGCCGCAATCTTATCAGTGACCACAGACAAGCAGAAAATGGATCTAGCCCCAAACCCAGATTCAGTCATATCACAGCAACCAAAACCCAGAGAGCTTACAATGCCTGGGAACACGCCAACACACCAGCCACCCCGTCCCCATCCACTGCGACCACAACGACATGTCCTAGAAAATAACTTCTGGAATTACAAGGAGCTTTAAAGAGGATCCATCCAGTTCAAGCCCTCCCTGCTCATTTTGCAGAAAAGAAAAGTAAGATCCCAAAGAAATGAAGCCATTTGCCCAAAGTCATCTGGCAAGTCAGGATCAGATTCCCAAACCACAGGCAGGTGGTCCAGAGCTCGCTCTTCTAGGAGAACTTAAAAAGCTACAAAACATACAGAAACACACAACTGCTGGAGATGAACAATTACAAAGAGTTGCAAAATCACATGAAAATGAGCTAATTCAAAACTGCTGCCTTCATCCCCTCCAGAACCCAGGGACAAGGAAGCAGCCCGGGGCTGTTGAACGGTGCAGTGGTGCCTCCCAAGACCTTCTTCCCGCTTTTTCCTGCTTCACCCATTTCTCAAAGCAGAGAAAGTAAAACTGCCTAGGAGACTGCTCAAACTCTTACTCTGAACCAACGCAGACTTTGCAGCCTGTGATGTGGCGACTATGTTTCCCCCTAGGGGCCTACAGAAATCCCACTATTAAACAAGAGCAGGTCATTCAATAAGTAAGCCCCGGGGGAAAATTACGCGCCTTCCACACACAGCGGTCTTCTCCCCGGACCTGCCCAGGTAACAGGCTGAGGGACTCTGCATTATCCGCCACCGCCAGGCAGACTTCTAGAGAACTGAGCCCCAGGAGCTAACATTCCCAAACAAGGCTTCCGAAAGAGAACACGTTCTTACCCTTAAAAATCACAGAAACGATAGGATCCGGTTTCCCAAATTTCGTTTTAGGGATGTTGCTGGCAGATTCCACAATTACCCGGAGCATGGCTCTAAACGGGCAGAGAGCAAGTTTCGGCAAATGAAGCGAGGCCGGCTGGCGCTGGCGCTGGCGCTGGCGCTCCGGGCTGCACCGCCCTTTCCCGGCCGACGCAGGATTTCTCGCCGCGAAGCGGGAAGGGGCGAGCGCAGAGGGTGGACCTGGGGCAGGTTATTCACCGAAGGCTACGCGTCCACTGAGACGCAGGCTCCCGTAGTCCACGAGGTGCCGCAGGACAGGCTCACGACTGTGAAAAAATGTGGAAGTGAAAAGGGCAAAACCTCAGCTAGAAATAATGTGCAACAAATAAAACTAAAATAGATTTGGAGCTAATAATTGTGGGCGGGTAGGAAACCCACTAAAACGTTGCTCCCGGCAAGGGAGCAACCATGTGGTGGACCCGAATTGATTCCTGCCACACGTTCCATTCTTTTCGGAGTTTCGTGGAGTTTTAAAACTTTACTTAATCTTTCAACTTTTTTTTTTTTTCATTTTACTTTTGCCGTTTCTTTTGATACTGTTGAACACACCCATTCTGCAAACGCTTGCAGGTTTTCAAACGCAGTTAAATGGCGCTCTCTAGTGGACAACATAGGAATAACAGCTTATTGCTATTAAGCATCCAAGTGCCGGAATGTGGGTTTACAAAATTAATGTATTGGGGGGCTGAGCCTCCGCTTCAGAAAACGATTTACCATAGAATTTATTCAAAATCCTTTAGAGGTGAGAGCTGGGCACCTAAATTTTGCTGGTCCTTCGAAAGCTCCCTTCGATGAAAATAGAGAAGTGGCTCTCCAAGCTTTCTTTACCTCCGCGAGTGCAGCGTCTTCCCGTCCCAGGGGGCGCATTAAGGCTAGGTAAGCTGGTGGCTGGGGTCACACGAAGAGCCCTGGGGTTAGCAGTCGGCCTGAGCATGCGCTCCTGCGTCACCACCTTCAGCGACACCACCTTAGCACCTTAGGAAGTTTCTTTCTTTCCTAATTAAAGGAATTTTTATTTGTTCGTTTTGGCTATGGAGTGTGTGCTCACCAGAGAGACAGAGACAGAGAGAGGGAGAGAGAGAGAAATCACCCCTGGGGGAAATGGCCACACCGCAGTCCCTTCTCTTCCATCCTCCTCTTGGGATTTTGGGCACGTGTGCCTGCTGTAGCTCTCAAGCTGATGGGTCCAGCACTGGAACCGCCCAGTCTACTGCTGGCTGGCCCCTTAGTAAGCTCCCTAACCGCTCAGTTTCCTCATCCGCAAAATGGAGATACGGTTGCTGTAAGAGAGCAGGGGAGGTGAAAGCACGCGGTGAGCTACGCGTGGACACACCAGGAGTCCACGCTTTGTGATTCTATAGCACGCCATTAATGCAAGTTGCCTTCGGATCAGGATGTCATTGCGTTTCAGAAGAAAAGGTGGAAACACGAGTTGAAGGAAGCAGGCTTGTTTTTGCTTTTGAACACATAATCCAGAAGACCCATCAATAAGCAAGCACAAGTGCATTGAAAAAGCGTAGTTTAACCTAAAAGAATTCTTCCAGCTCAGTGAGTTTCTCAAAAGCAAAGACTGTCACAGGTTTAAGACGACCACGAGGCATACAGATTAGCTGCAAGGTGGTGCCCGGATGGCACGCTGACGCTAGAGCAGAGGACTACTATATTAGTAAACTACTAGGTGGAATCCAGTCAGGAGTTAACAGTATTGTACTAATGCTCATTGCTTAGTTGCTGGGGTTTTTAGAGAGATTTTTGCCATAGGGCACATGCACTCACTGGAGAGACAGAAAGCAAGAAATCAACTCCCAAGGGGATGACCATGCTGCAATCCCTTCTCTGCCGTTCTCTTCCCAGGATCTTGGGCATGTACGCACACACGCCTGGTGCGATTTTTAAGCCATCAGGTCTGGAACTCGAACCACAGTCAGCCATGTGGGAGTCCAGCGACATAACTGCTATGCCATCTGCTGGCCCCAGTAGGTTTTCAGTATCTGTAAAATTTTCACTTCAGGCTGGCTCCCAGTGGTTAAGGGAAGCCAGATCCCACGTGGTTGACCATGGTTTGAATCCCAGACCCGGGGCTTCGAAAACACACTGGATGTGTGTGTGTGTGTGTGTGTGCTCCCAAACCCCAACAGGAAGGACAAGTAGAAGAGAAGGGATTGCAATATGTCTGCGCCCTATTTTGGGGGATGCTTTTTTCCTCCCTCTCTCTCTCTCTCTGGCAGAGTATAAGCACCTTCTGGCAGAAAAAAAAAAATTCATCTGCAGATAACACAGCGTTGTCAGATTTCCACACTGTGAAAGACAACCTGAGTATTCGTAACTACCAAGAAGTTCTAGTCTACATAAGTTCATTACTCATAATCCAAATTTTCAATGCCATAATTATTTAAAATCCTTTCACATTTTTACAGCAGAAAATATCACTTTGAATATGGCATAAGGTACATTGAGCATGTTTAATATGATACATGCAGAAGTAAGATACCATCCAAATGTGAAGGGAGCCGTCAAAGTGTTCATGCCCAGTCCGCAGCGATGCCTAGAGTCTCCCGTTTGTCACTGTCATGTAGAACCTCTAGTAAACAGAGGCCGGCGAGGCGGGTCAGTAGTAAGGGGCTCCACAGTAAAAGGGCCAGGCCTGCTTTTAAGAAGCTCTGCAGTGGCCGTGCGCTGGAAGAAACGCCATCGTCTTCACCCTTGGCAATAAATATCTGAGAAGTTCAGGGTATGTGAAAGTGGCAACTTAAAGCTAAGGGGTAGAGGGACCAGCAGATGGCCAAATGGCCACATCACTGAACTCCCATGTAGTTGACCACGGCTTGAGTCCTGGGCTCGGCAACTTTAAACACGCCCAGCATGTGTGCATGCATGCCCAAGGTCCCGATAGGAAAATGAAGGGATTGCGGCATAGCCATCCCCCCTGGGAGGGGGTGATTTCTTGCTTTCTGTCTCTCTCTGTCTCTTTGGCCAGTGCATGCACACTTTAGCAGAGTCTCTCTCAAAAACAAAACAAAAACAAAAACAGAACAACTAAGAGGTAGGGAAGATGACCACCGAGGGTGTGGCCTGAGCTCAGAGCGTCTCTCCCAGGAACCCAGGCTCCAGGGGCAGCTCTGAGCTGTGTTTTACTGAGAAGAGGAAAAGGAGACCCACGTGAGTAGGAGATGAAGGCAGGAACTAGGGGAGGCAGTGATCAGGGAAGGGAAGAGGTGCTCAGAGGCTGCCAGTCAGTAAGCTCCAGGCCATTTCAGTCCAGCTCGGGAAGTGTGTGCAGGCATGGTGCATGTGTGCTTACTCACGCGCACACATGTGCATGTGTGTGCATTGAGCGTTGGGTGGGGATGATTCACTGGTGGGATATGAACATGGTTGTGGGCTTTAGAGACTGCACAGCTTTACACAAAGGCAATGCACGGTTACTCTGCACCATCACCACCGGCATCTTCGCCGCCAGCCTGCCACTCCCCTTTCTGCCGTCTGGACAGGCAGCAGCCCCTGGTACCCTGCTCAGTCGCTGCTTCAACTCCTTTAATCCTAACAATTACCCTATGAGGTAGGTTCCACAGTAACCTAACTTCATAGCCGAGAAAACCAAGGCACGGAAAGATGAAGTCACATGTGGGACCACAGATGGCATAATGCTTATGTCACTGGACTCCCACAGTGTTGACTGCGGTTCGAGTCCTGGACCTGGCAGTTTAAAATTCACATTGGGTGTGTCTGCATGTGTGCCCCAAATCCTGAGAGCAGAGTGGAGGAGAAGAGGCTGTAGCATGGCCTTCCCCCGGGGGGTGACTTCTCACTTTCCATCTCTCTATCGCTCTCTCTGTATCTTTGGCGAGCACACATGTTCTGAAACAAACGATCTCTCTCTCTCTCTCTCTCTTTTTTTTTTTTTTTTTTTTTGCTATAGGGCATGTGCGCTTGCCAGAAAGATAGAGACAGAAAGCGAGAAATCACCCCCCAGGGGGGATGGCCACACCGCAATCCCTTCCCCTCCCATTCTCCTCTCGGGATCTTGGTCACGCACGCGCACACACACCCGGCATGAGTTTGAGCCACCGGGTCCGGGAGTCAAACCACAGTCGATTACATGGGATTCCAGCGACGTAACCATTATGCCAACTGCTGGTCCCCAGACTCTTTCTCTTAAAAAAAAATCAAATGATTAAGTAACTTTTAAAGGTGACAGCTACCAAGTGACAGAGCTGGGATTCAAACCTCAGCAGTCAGGTTGGACTTACTGTGACACTCTCTTGGACCGTGTCCCTTACAATATCCCTAGATCCCAATCTTGTTGCTAATTTGCATGTACTAGGTCCAATAATGTCCTTCAAAATCTAAACCTATATGTGACCTTATTTGGAAACAGGGTCTCTGCAAACATATTAAGTTAAAATGAAGTCATACCAGATTGGGGTGAGCCCTTAATCTAATATAATTAGTTTTTTTCCTAAGAATTATTTATTTTATTTGTTATTATTATTATCTTTAACTTGCTATAGGGCACAGGCACTCACTAGAGAGAGACACACACAGACACACACAGAGAGAGGCAAAGTGAGAAAGCAAGCTGCCAGGTCCGGGATTCGAACCATAGTTGGCCATGTGGGGAATCTAGGTGATGCCATCTGCTGGCTCCATGTTTAGTGTCTTTACAAGAAGAAGGACATCTGGAAATAGAGACAAAGAAACTCAGGGAGAGTCCTAGACTTAGAAGCTTACAAAACATGCCAGGCACATGTGTGCCCAAAATCCCAAAAGGAGAATGGAGGAGAAGGCATGGCCATCCCTCCCCCCCCCCCCTGGGGGGGGGGTTTTCCCCTTTCCTCCCCCCACATGCACCTTATAGCAAATTAAAAAAATAAAAGAAAAAAGAAAAAGAAGAGCTGTATCTTTAAGAGTCCAACAAATGCCACAAGTAAAACACAGAAAAGTATTTCCTTCTGGGAAAATCATGGAAGCGTTCATTAGCACAGAATGAGATCCACCGTTCCTTCACCAGTAGGATGTGCATTAGTTCTACAAGTACTTGAGCCCGCCCCGTGAGTGAGGTGCTGGGTCATCGGCAGAGTCTAAGGCAGACAAAATTCCGACCCGACAGCTTCCCAGCCAGCGGCGGGCACATGCCACCCGTGTGCTCACGTGCCCTACCTTCCAGCGTTTCCAGCAGCTCTGTGAGCTAGGACTCCCACGCTCGTCCTTACAGCAGGTGGAATTCAGGCTCAAGAGCTAAAAAGGAGCCAGGATTCAAGCCCAGCGTCTTCCAAGCCCAGCTCCGTCTCCAGCCTCACCTCAGCTGAGCGCTCACATGTTCGTTCATTATTTCTCACTTCTCTCTTCAAGTGAACTCATGCATTGTCTAAGAGAGGGACAGTTTTGCCTGGAACACTGGGGCAAAAGAGAGAGAGAAAGAGAGAAAGTGGGAGGGGCTGGACTGTGGCGCAGCAGTAAAATGTGCTGTCCCTGGAGGCTGACCCCCATGGCAAGGTTCCATGTTCGTGTCCGGAGGCTTCCCTGAGGGCCCTGGACATATGCATGGCCAAGGTCCAGAGCTGACTGAAGCTGCAGGTGGATCATGTGTAAAGAACTTTTTGATGGCGTTGTCTCTCACTTTCCCTCTTTCGATTTCTTGGAAGAAATAAACACGTTCTAAAAAGTAGAGAGAGGAGGGGGAGAGTTAGCAAAAAATCAAGACTCAAGGAGCCAAGTACTAGGGGTAGCAAAGAGGAATTAATGGAAGAGAAATAAAGAGATTCATAGCGTCTTATTCCAATCCCAGTTTTACAGAATTCTAAGTTTTACCTAATGGCAATTTTCAAACTGGCACATAAAGGGCCCATTGTTAAGATCTGTTTGCTGAAATACTTTTTAAAGATTTATTTCCGTTGAAAACTCAAATGCCTTTTAGAACTAAAATACTATTTTTTAGTAGCTTAATTATAGGGTTCTACACAGCAGTAGATACTATTTTAAAATACCTTAATATCTGGCTCATATGAATTTCAGTCCTTTAAAAAGTGCTTGGCAGTAGCTGAGTCTAACTGGGGCAGGATGAGATAAGTATATTCCATAATATTTGGCTCCATCATCTTGTCATTATTCAAGGCAACGGAGGAGCTAAATATACGACAGGAATGGATCTGACCTTCTCCAAGAAAGTATGAACATATTTTTGAATATAAACCTAGAAAAAAATAGAACTGGGAAAAGTAGAATAATGTTAAACGTCATGCTTTACAGAAAGAATAATTCCTGTCGAAATGTTTGATAGACAAATGGTTCCCAGTGGTTCTTCTGTAAGGACCTTGTTCATTCATGGACACATGCATTTATTCAGCTGCTACTGAAGTCTGCTTGGTGCTGGGCACCATAACAACTACAGAGATGAATAAGATGCATTGCTTCTCTGCAGAAAGCTCACAAGGGAGTATAGCACCATACAGAGATGACAGCAATACAGGAGGAGAGAACAGAAGAGGCCAGTATCTAATAGGGCAGGAGTGGGCAGCTATGGTGGGCTCCCTGGAGGAGGTGACTGCTGACAGTTGGCCTGAGTCTCAGTGGCTGGGTTGATGTGTGTGTGACTGTGTGATGTGAAATACAGCTACACAAATGCACACAGTGCGTGCTGGGAATGTAGGCCATTTCACATTGGCGGGACGTCGTGTACACGGTGAGACACTCACACGGTGGGCCGAGGTGGACAAGTGGATACCCGCTTGGACAGCCTTCTTTGCTGTCACTAACAGGCAGGTTTGCTGAGTGCTCACTCCATGTTAAGTGCTACCTGAACATTTTATTTTGCCTTATTCAGGCCTTCCACCACCCTCTCCCATGGAGTCCTACCTTATGATCCCCGCTTTAAGGATGTCAAAACTGAAGCCCAGTTTGGTTAAGCAGGTGCTGAAGTCTCCCTAGCTGCTGATATAAAACGCAGCCTTTGGTGGCTGAAGCTGAACTCTAATCAGGAAAGAGCAGTGAGCCTACCCGACTCTCGTCATACGGGGCTCTTCAAGGACGACCTGGGGCCTGTCAGGGAATGTTGGGAACAGAAAGGAAGAGAGGAAAGAACCTGCTTCTCCACAGTTGTTTCGGTCAGAGGCAACCTCGGTCAGGCATTCACACTCATCGGTCTGAGCGCTGTGACTCTTCTGGATGCTGAGGACGTGGTGGTTGGCAAAATCAGACACGGCCCCCACCTTCAAGGGGCTTTCAGTCTAGAGGGGAAAGGATGCAGTCAAAGAATTACACCAAGACGTGCAGTCACAGCAGCGATGAATGCTTCGAATACAAGGTAAAGAGACAAAATCCTTTTTTCTTTTTCTTTTTTTGGAGAGGTTTTCGTTATGGGGCGCATGCGCTCACCAGAAAGACAGAGACAGAGAGACAGAAAGTGAGAAATCACCCCCCAGGGGGATGGTCACTCCACAATCCCTTCTCCTCCATTCTCCTCTTGGGATCTTGGGCACGCACACACACATGCCCGGCGTGAGTTTAAGCCACCGGGTCCAGACTCGAACTGCAACTTGACTACATGATAGTCCAGCGACATAGCCATTACTCCAACTGCTGGTCCCTTTAGAGATTTTTGCTATAGGGTTCATGTGCTTTCCAGAGAGACAGAGAACGAGAAATTCCCCCACCCCCAGGAGGGGATGGTCACACCACAATCCCTTCTCTATTCTTTTACCCGGTGTGGTGTGAGTTTAAGCGCCAGGTCCAGGACTTGAACCACGGTCAACTACGTGGGAGTCTGGCAACGTAACCATCTTGCCATCTGCTGATCCCAGAAGATCCCCTTTTCTGAGAGGCAGGGAAGCCCTCCCTGAGGTGGGGAGGACTGCCTTGACCTGCAAAGGAAGCAGGAAAGGGGCTAACTGTGAGCAGAGCAGCCAGGCGGGGCCTGGAAGGCCCTGAGGCAGGAAGGAGTGAAGGGCGTCCTGTGGCTGGTTTGAGACTGGACTGGGAGGTCCAGGGGACTGGTCTCTACCAAGCCGGAGAAGACAGACGGCGTTTCAGTTCTTCATCCAAGGAACAATGGCAAGTGAATACAGTGCTGTCTGTGTGTGACAGGGAATGTGTGACGGGGTTGGATTTGCTTTATTTCAAAAGGTCCCTACGGAGGGGAAACTGCATCTGTAGCAGGTGAGGTTTAGTCATCCCTCCTTGTCTGCATTTAAACAACACTGATGTGTGCAGACAACAGAAATGTAACATCAGCCCCGTTTAAGATTTTGAATTTTCCAGTAGTCCACATTAAAAAGCCAAACACAATGGCCAGCATGTGGCATGGTGGTTAAGGTGCTGGTTTTTCACATGGATGACCATAGTTCAAGTCCCGGACCTGGTAGCTTGAAAATCACACTGGGCACGTTTGTAAGCATGCCCAAAATCCCAAGAGGAGAATGGAGGGGCAGGGATTGTGAAAGGGCCACCCTGCCTAGCAGGTGACTTCTCACCTTTCCTCTCTCTGTTTCTGTCTGTCTCTCTCAGGCAAGCACATACACCCTATGGCAACCATCCTCCACCTAAAAAAAGTCAAACGTAATGGGTGATTTCAATTTTAACACACTTTATTTTACCAAATATATCCAAAATACTACCATTTCAACTTGAAAGATAAACTATTAGAGTGCAAAATGTCATAGTCTTTTTTTACATTAAGCCTGAAATCTGTTAAATACTTCGACATCTCAATGTGTACACACATTTTTCATCAGAAGTACATGATCTGTATTTAGATTCCATAAAATGTGCAATAGAAAAATAGGCTTACTTACCCACATTGTTCCAAACACACCTAAAAGTATCCTAATAACTGAACTGACTTATATTAAAACAAAGTAAAGCTTCTAGTTCAGCTCCTCGATGACAACCACAATTCAGTAGCTCAATAGCTACACGCAGTGAGTACTACCGTGCTGGACAGAGCAGGGAGTGCTCCAGTGGTGCGGAAAGTTCTGCTGGTTTGCCTGCTGGCGCAAACACGGGCAGCCTTTGGAAGGTGCAACCACTCAGAGGTGGCGGTGCCCTCATCTACAGCATCCTCCCCCTTCCCATTTAATAACTCTAAGCCCCTTCAGCAGCCTTTTCAGACTGCTTTGGTTCCCCAAGAACATTTTCCTGCTGGGAAGAAAATGAGCTCACCTGCTGAGATAAATATCGAATGTGCTTGGCTGTCACATTTTTCTGTTTATATGAATAAAGATGAGTTTGAATCCTTGTCCTAGAACATCCCTGAGTGAACTGTCCACATCAAAGCGCTGTCACCTTGTGAGACCTTGTGGAAAGCGACCGGCTCCTGTAGTTCTACTTCCAAGGCTGGCAGTGTTGATCTTAAGGAGCAAACATAGATTTGCAGGTCTAGCAGGGGCAATTACAAAATCACACACACACACCCAGGCCAATAAGCTCCTCGTCCTCAGGGACCTCCACTATCAGATGCAGCTCCTGCCAGAAAAGGAGGTCTCAGAGAAGCAGGTGTGGAATTGGCGTGTCTGGCCCAGCAGGCCTGGGCCCACATCCCCAGCTGCCAGACTGTCAGGTGTCACGCCTCTAGGCCCTAGGCCCTACCCCACCCCCACCCCTCCCAAGTCGGCTCAAATGTGAGCCAGAAGATATTCTTTCTCATCCTTAGAGATTTCTATGGAAAGTAATTTTTGTGTGTGTGAAAGAAAAAGTAATTTATTAAGTAAAAGTGAATGTACACTCCTGAGAGGTAAGGAGCCGGCCTACGTGGGCAGAGAAAGAGTAGCTCAGAAGGCTTATAGAAAGTCATTTTGTCCCTCACCTAAACTCTGGGCTAAGAATAAAGTTCATACCTTGATTTAACTTCTGCGTGGACTTCACCCCACCCCAGTCCCACCTGATAATACCGTAACACAGCAGATAGGAAGGAAATCACAGGTGTTCACTTTCCCCAGAAATAGGAACTCCTTGGAGGCAGGTACCAAACATGGTCTTCTTGGATGGGTTTATTATTATTATTACTACGTTACTCTGTAAACTTCCCTCAAGATTTCTCATTCCTTCTATTCAGGAACATGAGTGTGGCTTTTGTCTGATAATGGCTAACATTGAGCATTTACCAAATGCTAAGCACGTTTTATGAATTCTCTCATTTAATCTTCACGTCCACACCATGACGTAGGAAGTATTTGCATCGTTGTATAGATCAGTAAACTGTGGCTCAGAGAGAGACGAAATAATGAACCAAGATCACACATTCGTTAAGAGGCCATTAGGACCTATTTAAACTCAGGCAGTCCGAACCTGAAGTTTAACCGTTGTACAACACTGCCTTTCCAGGATGCGTATCTACCTGTTTTCAATCTCCAGTGAGTTAATAGATCTAAGAGAGGAAGGTGGGCCCTGCCAACCACTTCCTGTGCTTCGCAGCAACAGAGTTCTCAGGGCGCTGCGGAGGACCAGAGCTTGCTGTGTGGACAGAATTGGCCAAGGGCGGAGTCGGGATCAGTCTCAGCGCTCCACCTGCGCGCCCTCAGCTCTCCCTCCGTTACACTCGGCTGTTCTATCCCTGACTTCGGCAGGATACAGGCTCAGTCCAAAGGGAAGACAGAGAGGGAGGCTGTGCTCTCTTGGGAATCCAGTTCTCCCAGATCCATGTTCTACGGAGAGAAACTACTCAGAGGAGTGAGTTATGCCCAAGGACACAGAACGAACTAGTCCCAGCCTAGGGGAACTAGTCCCAGGGTTTATCTCACTGAAAAATAGTGACTTGCTTCATTCCCAAAGCGGATAAGCACAAGACATTTACTGAGATCACTAACCTGCGGTCTGAGCCCGCGCGGAGAGCCAATCGGGGAGCCGCGCCCTCGCCACCAGGGTCCCGCCGGCCTCGCCCGCGCCGGCAGTGACGTGCCCCGCCCCGCAGCCGCGGGATTCAAACTCCCGGAAGCGCCGTTCGCGCGCGGAATTCAACCCCCCGGACGCGCCGTTCGCGCCGGAGGGTGTGACGGGCCCCGCAGGAGCGCCGCGCTTCGCTGCAGGTGCTGCTTAGAGCGAGGC